TTTGGGGTTGGGAAGGTTCAGGCTCTCTCTGACCCCCAGGATTTGGGGTTGGGAATGTGTCCCCAGGGATGCTGTGATGTCACCGTGTCCCCTCGGGGCTCACCCAGGCCCGCGGTGCCCCTGCCCTGCCACCCCCCGGTGGGGCAGAAATCCAGGGAGAAGCTGCAGATCCTGGGAAACGTCCCCTGCTCCGGGGTGCACTGAGGGAAAACCGGGAGCCTTCGGGCTGGAGCAATTCCCTAAAACCTCCTCCTGCAGCGAACTCTGACTTTTGATATCAAAACTGACCAATTATTGATCCATGGCCCAAAAAGTGAAATTCCAGGTGCGATTTATCCAGGAATGTTTGCTCCGGCGTTTTCAGACACAGGGCTGATTCAGCTCTGTTAATTGCAGCTTAATTAATATAAAAATTAAAAATCCCCCTCCTCATCAGTGACATTTTATTAAATCCGAGAGCGGGGCTGCATTCCCAGAAATATTCCCACATTTTGGCTTTTCCCTCTCTACTGTGAGCAGGGCAGGCTCAGCCTGTCCTTGGTTTTCCCAGGAATTTCAGCTTTTCCTTGATTTTTCCCCTTTTCCCAGGGATCCCACATTGTGCCATTGCAGGTGGAAAATGCCACGGATTTCCCTCTGTCCCAAATATTCCCGGTGCAGGGGTGGAATTTGTGCTCTGGGCATTGGTGGGATCCCAGGACACGGGGTTGGTGTGGAGTTCCTCGATCCCATTTCCGATTCCAGCTGATCCAGTGGAATAAAACAGGAGATCAGGGCAGGAGCTGAGCGGGGGCGGCCTTGGGGCCTTTAATTGGAAATTAATTCCTTAAAGAATTGCCTCTACATTTGTAATTTCAGCTCAGGATTCATTTGGATCAGTTTAATTTTGTAAATTCAACTGAGAATTCCTTGGGATTTTATGAATTCTGTAAATTCAGCTGAGAATTCCTTGGGATTGGATTAATTTTGTAAATTGAACTAAGAATTCTTTGAGATCAGTTTAATTTTGTAAATTCAGCTGAGAATTCTTTGATATCAGTTTAATTTTGTAAATTGAGCTGAGAATTCCTTGGGATTGGATTAATTTTGTAAATTCAGCTCAGAATTACTGGAAATTTTATTCACCTTGTAAATTCAGCTGAGAATTCTTGGGGACTTTATGAATTCTTAAATCCAGCTGAGAATTCCTTGAAATTTTATTCACGTCATAAATTTAGCTGAGAATTCCTTGGGATTTTATGAATTTTGTAAATTGAGCTGAGAATTCTTGGGGACTTTATGAATTTTGTAAATTCAGCTCAGAATTCCTTGAAATTTTATTCACTTTGTAAACTCAGCTCAGAATTCCTTAGGACTTTATGAATTTTTAAATTCAGATGAGAATTCCT